ATGAACAAATTTCTATGCACACTGCACATATCTTATTTTGAAATAAAAAAACAAACGGGGCAAAAACACCTGGCAGGCCAGATAAATGTCCTTGGGGAGTCGCATGTGGCCTGCAAGCCATAGTTTGAGGATACCTGGTTTAGTTCATATGATTTTCTCAAAGGAACACAGTACACATGGGTGGTATTTTACAAGACAGCCTGATACATATATTTCAAAAGGTGATCTCAGGGGTGGATTTCAGTTCAAGTTGAGAGTATCTCAGGGCAGTAGTCAGGGAGTCTACTCTCAAGTGGTATAAGCCTGGCTATCTTATTAGGAAGGTGAGGAGGTTCTCGGCCTTATTTTTATCCCAGTCTATTAGAACTCATCAGTTGTGGCCCTGACCAAGTTAGTCGTGGTGGTTGGGCACAATTTAGTTGTTATTTATATACAAAGAACTCAATGAATCTCATGCACTCATGACCCTGATTTAACAACTGTAATACTCTCTTCTTGCCTCATCTAGCCCTACTGCTTTCTTTAGGAAGCAAATTGATTACCATTGTGCTGATTCCATACACATTCTGAAAGAACAGACTTTTAAGAAATGGAGCCATAAAGCCATTATCATATCTAAACAATGTCAACAATTTAGTATCACCTTAAGCACATAATTTCATAAGAATCAGCACAAAACAGACTTTATGAGGCAGAAGTGCAATATATGCCAGATTTCCAGTTTCTCCAGGCTCCTTAGCCGGTGCAGCACTGAAAGAAAACCCCCCACTGAGCACTTTCCCATCACACATTGATTGGTTCAGCAATTTGCTGTGGTATGTCAAAGAATCCACAACTCTACTTAGAGTTCAGTGGTTTATTAAGAAAGTAAGAGGTTTACAGCTCAGAATCAGCTTTGAGGTAACAACCTACAACTCAAGATCAGGACCAAGAAACATAGGCAAGGTCTACAAGGCTCCCCCCAAATGGAGAGCAACTGCACCCTTCTCAGTGCAGGACAGCTCTTTCGGATCACCTCAGCCATGCAACCAGGCAGGTTCATCTCTAGTTCATGTGGGCAAGTAGGCCTCTCTGCTATTGGCCTGCCCAGTACCAATATTCTAACTAACTGACCAGCCGACAAAGTACTTTCCTCAATGGATGCTCTGCTAGCTGCAGCTTTCCACCACCACCACTGGCTGTTTCATAAGGTCACCTCTAGGCTAGGTGTTATTACTCTTTTGTGACGACCCCTTCTGGGGCACGTTCCAGTGTCCATATTACAGCCTGTGGCCCTTATTACAGCTTCCAGAAGGTTCCTGGCATCCTCTCTCTCTGCCTTTTCTTTCTCTGAAAAATCCGTGCAAGGAAATAAAATAAATCTGGGCATGGGGTGGAGGTGGGGGAGACCGCAACGGATATAAACAAACTCCTTGTTAATTTCAATATATGCAAATATATTTGTATATGAGGATGGAGAAATAGATCTATGTGCATATATTTATAGGTGTAGGAATAAGGTAGCAGAAGGACATTGCACCTCCACCCAAGTACTCCCTCATTGCAAGAATACTTTCTTCTATTAAATTGGCATTTTATGATGCTCACCTTCCCGACACAA